AATATCTGAAGTGCTCGACCATGCATGTTTCTCTACTGTGGCTATCTTAAATTGCAATGTTTCCCAGCCCTGCAAAACCTCTGATTTTCATGTCTCAGACCTGTGGCAGGCGCTCTTTGTTAAACCTCAAAGAGTCTCACTTTGTGCCTATTTAGCCAAAGACTCTCACGAAATCCCCATGCAGAGTTCTGGGCCCTTCTTTCGCACAACTTTCTTCTCTTCGAGTTATTGACGTGCTTCAGCTCTTACCTCTGATCTCTGCCGTAGCTCAGCCATACTGCTGTGTGCTATTTGGGCTTCGTGTCCCTTACCCAGGTCTTAAATGTGGGCCACGCAGAAAGCCGAAACGGACATGGAGCTCGCTTCACTGTTTTTAAATGCCTCATTTGTGAGAAACTTTGTGTCTGGCTCTGGGAAAGATACAAATAGGTAAATGAGATGGAGCTTACGATTTGGACAGAATGAAAATGTGCTATGAAATTCAGACTATTTTATCTGACTTCCAAAATTTGGTGATACTAGCTGATTGGAAGAAAGAAATCTAAGATCCATATTTTTTTTTAGACTTTTCAGATCTGAGATTTCAAAATCTGCATTGAGGCTGCGAAGGAAGTGAGGAGCATATCATATACCAGAGTGTCTTATGCCCCAAACTGGATCATTAGTGTACTCTGAGGCAACACAGTATTATTCTCAGAAGCCTATCATGCTTAATTCCTTCTAATTAATTTTTTTTAATGATGTGTGCCTGAAAGTTCTCTTTTTAAGGTCTCATAAATGAAATACGACCAGAGAGTTTTGCTGCTCTGTCTCAGAAAACTGCTTCTGTATCTGACTTGTTAATATGGTTCTTAATGGCAGCCTGCATTCCTCCATATCTGCTTATCGAATACTTACTCTGCCCTGAGACACTTTGCTGGAATCTGAGAATAGAGAAAGAAAAGTCCTAGTCAATGCCTTCAAAACACCCGCAATCTAGACAAATAAATGCAATTATTGTAGTTAAGGTCTTTGAGAGAGGCCAGCAGAAGAGACACATGAAACAGACATTTAAGCGTGGAGAGAGGGAAGATGTCAGGGAAGACTTCCTGGAGGTGGTGATGTCTGAGCTGAGTTTTGAAAGAGCTGCACCTGTGAAAGTATGGCAGCTTCGCAGATCTCAGAACTTCACGTAGCATTCGACATGCCTGGGAGTCAGGATTTGAGAGGAGACTGTGGGGCAGGTTAGAGGACAGTCTGGCCGGGATTAATTAGATCACGGCTTTCAAATAACCATCACGGACAGGTCAAGTAGGGCCTGGCATCCAACTCATACGAGCTATTTTTCTGTTTTGAATTTTAAGTGTTTTTGTTCTAAAGCAATACATGTGTATGGTAGAAAATGAAAAAATACATAGAGAGAGATAAGTAAAATGAGAATTATGCCACTTACAATCCTACAAAACCTCTTTTAGCAGATGGGGGTGAAGAGACCTCCGGAGAATGGAATGACCTCCATCTGGGGCCGCCGTAGACAGATTCAGTGCGGGGTCTGGAGTAGGGCGAGTGGTTAAGCCAAATGATAACTAAGATGCTTTCTATATTAGTCAGTGTTCTCTAGAGAAAAAGAACCAATAGGATAAATATAGATATACAGAAAGAGACTTATTATGAGGTATTGGCTCATGTGGTTATGGAGACGGAGAAGTCCCATGACCTGCTGTCTGCAAGCTGGAGGTCCTGGAAAGCTGATGGTGTAGTTCTCGTCTACACCTGAAGACCCAAAGACCAGGGAAGCCAATGGTATAAGTCTGAGTCTGAGTTAAAAGACCAGAGAACCAGGAGTGCCAGTGACCAGAGATGACAGAAGATGGGCGCCCCCAGCCCAGTCAGAGAGCAGGTTCATCCTTCCTTCATCTTTCTGTTCTATTCAGGTCCTTGCTTTGACGATGCCCACCCACCTCCCGGAGGGTGATCTTTACTCAGTCTACCAATTCAAATGCACATCTTTTCCAGGAACACCCTTACAGACACACCCAGAAATCACTCGGCCGTGGTTTTGTTAAATTAACATTTGTTGCATGAAGCACAGGGTGCTGCACTGAGCCTCGGTTTAATAGACCACAAGAGAAATTGAAATGGAGAAGTTAGTCACTCACAGGTTCTAGAGGAAGTACATGGCATGCCTCATGGGGCCACACTGGGATGTCAAAACAGAGACAGTGAGAGGGACAGGACTTGGGACGTGGGCCTTTATTAGGATCTGTGGATAGAGTGCTTTGAGGTTCCTGGGCTAGGGCTGAATTGGTCAATTCAAACAAAAATAGGGGTTTGAGTAAACTCCACAAGGGTCTTATCTAAAGGGTGCATAAGGGATACGGGTGCTGGGAGGCAGGGGTGACTGTTGATGACAGGGCTGTTGGGAAAGTTGCATCAGGAACGTACATTTTCTTATGACTCTGCAGGCTGCTATCTAGGGCACGCACTCGCATGGGGACTAGTGGCAGTTTAAGGTCCCTACTGGCTACTTGGCCAGACAAAATGGATTCTGAGGCAGCAGCACCATGAAGTAGCTTAGCTAAACGCTAGACAAATGTTTTACCAGCTATCTGTGGTTCCTTCAGCCCACTCAAGTTGACACATAAAATTAACTGTACTTTCCAATGCTGCAAATTTATTGTTCTCTAAAATAATCAACAACTTGATAGACACTTTGGCTTGCATTATGTCATTTAATCCCTGCAACATCCCTACAGGAGAATAGATGCTATTCTCACTTGTACAGAGAAATAATTGAGGCTTATCCTAAAAATGGATGGAAGATTTAGGATCCAAACTCATCTCTTGTAATCTAAACCCCAGGTCATATCACTATATCACATTATTGCTATGGGCTGAATTCCTTATGGGGGTCTTTCCTTATCTGCAATGTCTTCCTTTGCTGTCTGCTCATCCCTTAGGGTCAGAAGGAATAAACATTCATGGAGACCCTACCATATACAAACTCTGTGTTAGGTGTTTTACAGAAATTATCTCATTTAATCCTCATGACAGCCCTGTGAGAGACACAAGAAGGTTAGTCTTACCTGCCCAGGTTAAGTAATGTGGTCAAAGGCACACGACTAAAAGTGATGGAGCAGGAATTTTATCTGATATCAAAGACCACGTGTGCATCTCCCTATGGATTAGGCCATTCATTTCCTTGCCCAACCCTCTCTCAGCCATGTTGACGCTCTCAAACTCAAGGTTAAAAGAGTGGTCTGTGACTGTAGACAATTCTATCGTATGACTCGGACTTCAATTACCTGCAAAACTAACCCAGATTATGAAGTTCTCAGTCGCTACCACTCCTGCCTGCCCCCTCTGCTCACCCATCACAGCACTTGTCTGTAGGGGGTGTGTCTGTTAGATTAAGGACATGACTGTCCTAGGCTTCCACTGGGCCAAATTAGGAAAGTCCCCTGGTCTGGTGTCCTGAGTACCAGCATGAACTGCTCCCTTTCTTTTCTGTGAAATGTCAGGATGATATTTCTTGTCAGTTGAGATTGGGAAGATAAGAGGTGGCAAAGGAAAGGAAGACAGAGAAGGATGGGAGACATCGCAAAGCCTGTGGAGTCACACGATTCAGCCCCAATTTCTTATTCACATGGGCGGATGTCACTATTCTTTAGATCATCATTTTATTCTCCATTTTCTTGTTCGCATATAGATAACTATTCTAGGTCATGAAAATAATGCATTCGGTGAAGTTAAACATAGATATTTACTAAGGAACTAAAATGTAAACATAAACTATTTTATTCTGCTGAACAGTTAAGAATAGTGATGAGGCCATTCTTGGACAAATACACTAAAATGAACCACAAGAATAATATTTAGGAAAGATGAAGAGTATATTAAGCATACTGAGTGAAAGAGCTTCTTCTGGCCCAGGGAGTGGAGTGGAAATTGGCATGATCATTTTGGAGAAGAATTAGAATCAAGTTTTTAAAGAGAATATATGAGAGGAGTAAAAGGCTAATAAAAACAGCACTTGTATTCTTAGAAAAATGGAGAGAGAAAATCAAGGAATTCAAAAGTAAAGAGAAACCTAATTCATTAAGTAAGGGAGGAAAAACCCTGCCATTCTCGCTATTCTTTGTAAACAAAAGGGAAACAAATGAAAATAAAACATCAGAATTCGGTAAGATTTTACAGGACCATAACGTTGGTTTTATGGAAGCAAAGCCCATTTCATTTTCATTGCTGTCGAAAACTCTGGGCTGAGTGCTGACTAAGTGTGGATATCAGATCTCTTCAAAGCTGTATTTGGGTGCTTTTTCTTTTCTTTTCTTCTTCTTCTTTTTTTTTTTTTTTTTTGCTCTTGGCTTGTACCTTGAATCCTGGGTCCTGTGAGAAGTCAGTTCTGTCCCAAAGTTCTGGAGGGCGGGCCAACGTTAGATATTGGAGTTAGTCCTTTAATTTATTGCACTGATTCTTCTTAGGGAAGAACAAAGATGGTGAGAACATGAGTTAGAATTTTAACTATGAGAGATGAATACAAAATATTAAATTGACTCTCAACAATTTGAGTCATCTTGAAAACTCCCAGTCTCTTAGGATAAAAAACATATAATCCTATTTCGAAGTTCCTGGTGTGATCACATATTCGGGATTGGTTCTTTTCATTAATTAAAAAGTACCCAATCCAAAGTCAATTAACTAGTAAGATAGTATAACAAATTCTTATTTAATGAATTTTTCAAATTATGAATAAAAACTACACATTCAATGCCAGAAATTCCGAGTTTTTCACTGGCTGCTGAAAAACGATGGAAATAATTCCAGTCATGGTAGCAGCTCGCTCGAGGCTGATCGACCTCTGAAATAATTTATTGGTTCCAGGTGACTTTTACATTGTGGGGTTAGTCATTAGGGTAGGTTTGATGAGAAACAGATACAACTAGGGTTGGGAATTCAAATATGTATTATATTTCTCTCACGATCAGAAATACATTCACCATGGTTTTTTCTCTTTATAGGCTCATGCCAAAACCTGGCATCTCTACAATACTTCTTTCCGTCCAACTCAGGGGGGCCAGGTGTCCATCTCCCTAAGTTCCCACTGGGTCAGTCCTCGAAGAATGACGAACCACAGCATCAGAGAATGTCAGAAATCTCTTGACTTTGTACTAGGCTGGTTTGCCAAACCCATATTCATTGATGGTGACTACCCAGAGAGCATGAAGAATAATCTTTCATCTCTTTTACCAACTTTTACTGAATCTGAGAAAAAGTTCATCAAGGGAACAGCTGACTTTTTTGCTCTTTCTTTTGGCCCAATCTTGAGTTTTCAACTACTGGACCCTCGCATGAAGTTCCGCCAATTAGAATCTTCTAGCCTGAGGCAACTGCTTTCCTGGATTGACCTGGAATATAACCACCCTCAAATATTTATTGTGGAAAATGGCTGGTTTGTCTCAGAGACCACTAAGACAGATGACGCCAAATATATGTATTACCTCAAAAGATTCATAATGGAAACCTTAAAAGGTAGGATTGGGGATAAAATTCTAATTTCCTGCCCAAATCCACTGGCAAAACAATCTTTCAGATGATCTGTAATAAACTATGTAAATTTATAGTTTTTAATTGTAATGTAGAATTTCATTTCTGCAACGGTAGGAATGCATTTATGAACACCTTTCTCATTTGGGGACTTGAGTAACTTAAATTAATTTTTAAACTCATTTTGTAAATGAAAAACTGGGTTATAATGTATGAAATTACTTGAGTTTCAGAGTTATTACTCAAGATTTTTAGATTACATTAAGGACTAAGTAAATCCCAGGATAGCTCGTTTTCTGTACTTGTTTTTGGATTCTTATTGCTTGTACTGAATGAAACAATTTTAAAGAAAAATGAATATCAACATTTCCCACAGAAAACAGTAAGTAGTTTATGCTTTTGAAGACTTTATTCATTTATTGCAGCAGGCACAATGTCAGGAGCCTAGGGTAGAAAGTGGAACATCATCCCAGGCCTGAAGAATACCCACTGGAAATAAGGATAATCTAAATAAAAACATATTAGAGATAAACATATTTGGGAAGATCTTTATTTGTAGAGTTATCTAAGGTCGATTAGAGCCATTTGTCCATGAGAAAGGCCATTGGTTTGCCAAACAATAAACATACTACCTAATTTATTTCCTTAAGTAGTAAGACCCTCAAATGCTCGTGAATCTTGAGGCGAGTGTCCAGTGACGGGTCACTTTGCTCTTGTCCTCTCTTCCCTTTGCAGCCATCAGGCTGGATGGGGTGGACGTCATCGGGTACACGGTGTGGTCTCTCATGGACGGCTTTGAGTGGCACCGAGGCTATAGCATCAGGCGCGGACTCTTCTACGTGGACTTTCTAAGCCAGGATAAGAAGTTGTTGCCGAAGTCTTCAGCCTTGTTCTACCAACAGCTGATAGAGAAAAATGGCTTCCCTCCTTTACCTGAAAATCAACCCCTAGAAGGGACATTTCCCTGTGCCTTTGCTTGGGGAATTGTTGACAACTACATTCAAGTAAGTCAGCTGACAAAACCAATCAGCAGTCTCACCAAGCCCTGTCACTAGTAAGTAGCGCTTCCTTCTCAGGCTGCCATGACACATGGTCACTGTGGCTGGCCAAACACTGTCCCTTAAGGGTGTAATGTGGAACGCTGCGCCTTTCTCTCCCAAACTCTTCCTAGCTTCACCTTGCACTTTAAACCAGCCCCCAAAGGAGCACAAATTAAAAACATATGAATATTTAAAAGATAAAATACTCTCTTTTAATACAGTGGTTTTCAAGCAAGCTTTTTTTTTAAGCAGTCGAGTTCTTCCATAAATGAGATATAACTCAGAAGTCCAGATTATCTGAGACCTCAGTGCAGCTGCTGAGATTGAGTCAGGGCTTTAGACAGAGCCCTCCTGAGACATAGCTGTGGACCCCCCAAGCTTGCCAAAATACGCGGAGGATGAAAACCCTCGCTCCAGTGGGTCACTGGATGATCAGAACGCCATGACTAGCTGTAGTCATTGAGCTGGTAAGGAAGTTCTTCCAAAGAATTGTCCAATATTTATCAAGCACCTGCGATGTGGTTAGTCCTCAATATTATTTTTAATTTAATTGTAAAATAAGAATGTAATTATTTAAAATTTAAATATTGTTCATTTCATTTTCATTAAGTTTAAAGGAATTTGTTTTCTAGGGTTCGATTGGAGATTTTAGTATTTTCTCCTTCCCCCTCAGCCCACTGCTGTGCGGAGCCTCCCATCTTAATTTCTCTCCTGCAAGTGGGGTGCACAGTGAGGTTCAAGTAGGACCCAAAGGGCAGGAGAGATGCTGGCGAGGGAGAATGAGAGAGGGAGCGCGGCAAGGGCGGAAGCCTTCTACGGTCCCTCCTTCTCCCGTCCCTTTGATGAGGTTGAAGTGGGATGGTCCCTGGTCCTCATTCCAGCTCTTAGCCTTGCGCTATTCCCCATTCCCTGCTGGGCCTGGCGCCCCTTGTCATTGCGGGCTCATGCTCTGCCTGGACCTCTGACAGCAGCCTGAGCCTGCGCAGGTGATTCCAGTTTGGTCCTTTGTGAAGGGAAACCCCTGCCAGCATCTCTGCAGACAGTGTGACCTCAGGGCAGAGTGAGACATTGAAGGGAGTCCATTCCCTCTGCTCCGGTCCCCACCCCAGGCCCGTGCTTGCCTTGGGGACTGGTAAAGAGTAAGACAGTCTTAAGGACACATCCTATTTCCTCAAGGGAGAAGAGAAACTCTGGCGAGATGCAGCAGCACAGCAGTGAAGAGGAAGGGAGATGGAGACAGAATCGCTTTTTCTACTCCTTAGAAGCAATTGCTTTAGAATTTGATCTAATGCCAGCCACTCATCAGCCCGGGACCTTCTCTCTCAGGCTGCCCTCCCTTTCTCATCATCAGCTCAGGGTCACAAGCCCCCACCCACATCTCCTATGCAGAGCCAGCCAAACACGAAAGGAAGGCACGCTCCAATAGACGCTGGACTTGAACTTCTCCAGAAGCTCTCTAGTGGGAAAAGGCTGCAATTGCTGTTTTATTCTTTCTGCTTTCACCGTGAGCTATGTATTATTTTGGTAGTGTACTTTCCAAGCTGACTTCCTAATTGACAAAGTCAAAACGAGTTTGTTTGTTTTTTTTTTTAGAGCAGTTCTGAGAAGTGTGAGCATACGTTTTCATTTACAAGCAGTACTCTATACTTTTATTACATTTAAGTTTTGAGAAGAGACTTTTAAACCGTTGAAATTTATCTTTTCCCTCCTGGAAAATAGTAATGAGGCATGCATCTTGCTTGAAAATCTTCAAAAATAATATTCCACTAAGCACACAATGAGTCTGAAATCTGACCTTGGGCTTCTTCACATGGATTGTCACTGAACTTGGACCTAATTTCCCAGCAGACAGTGTTTCTCCATAACCACTAATGCTCACAGTGAATTGGGTCCAGAACCTGCTACATACTGGGACATGGGTTTCTTTAACATTGGTCATATTAGGAGAAAGTTTCTTCAATACACACTAAATACATACTTCATACCCATTCTTTCTGATTCAGCTTTATTATTTTACTTTTTTATTAACAAGTCGACCAATTGATGGAGGCTAGACAGAATTTTGCCTCAACACTCATTTCTAAATGTCCAGTACTTTTTAAGAAATAGATTCCCCCCTCCCCCGAAATTACACCTAGTCTCTCACGTTTGTTTTTACATGGACTAAATTATGTACAAAAGTTACGAATTTAGTGAACTCAGAGTTCTATAAAAATAATCTAAAAAATTTCCTTCAAGTTATGAACACTTACATTTCAAAAGAGCATGCAAATTTTGTCTCGCAAAGCGGCAGACATGCGATTTGTGGGTGCATCACGGTGGAAAAATGCTTTTCGGCAGTCCCTCAGTATTAGAAGAAATGCATGAGAGGGTGACCTACAAAGGACGGTCCTCCAGAAAAGGCCATTTCCCTCTGACACGCTGTAGTTTATAACTTTCCTTTGTGAACACAGCACTGACTTCCCCCGAGGGTCAAGAGCTCGCTGGCAACAGGCGAGTAAAACTGGGGCTCGTCTGACCCCTGCTTTTACAGAGGGTCAACTCGCATCACCTGCTCGGAGGGAATTCTTTCCGGGCAGATCACAGGCGTAGGCAGTGGCTCCTGGGGTGGCCTTTCAGTTTGCTTTCCCTCCCTGGCTTGCAAGCGGAGGGAGGATTTTGTCCACTTTACCTAAAGACCTCTGTTCGTTTTAGAAGCTTCTGTGTCAGATGTTGAAAAAACTATATTGTCATGATCGTCATAGAAAACTTATCAGGGGAAATTTTTTTAAATCTCGTTATAGGTGGATGACAATATTGTTCCCTAGTTCTACATTCTCCGTTGCTTTCCACCATCAGTCAGACTGAATTTGTTAAGTTCAATACAGGCCAATAAAAGGCCAGTTATGCATATTTAGTACCTTCTCGACCTAGAGCGAACCCCTGTGCCAAACGTGATTTTAAGAAACACAGTTTAATTTTATGATTTTGAGAAGCACAATTTAATTTTAAACACCATTTAATTTTCTGACTCTCACTCAGGCTTTAAGTGTTATCTTTGTCTAGTCTTTTTTTTTTTTTTTTAATTTGAAAGTTTCATTTCATTAGTGATTTCTTATAATAAAAGAAAAAGGTCCAAAAATACTGTGCTTACTTAACAGACAGGAGATGTGTGAGAATCGCTAATGTTTGCCATCTGAAGTGAGGGGAAAAAAAAAAGATCCAGATTTTTTTTTTTTTCAGCATTAAATAAAGTAACACTTCAAGGGGTCGACAGAAATACAGGTAAAACAAATACGCTTAGAAGTGGAATGTTTTCTTCTTCGGGAGCTCGCTATTCACAAAAAAACTGTTTCCATTTTCAGCTAGAACGGTTTCTGGTTTTGCTCAGCTTGCTCACTAGCTGTCGAATTGCACTGAATTACTTTTCCGGGCCTGTTCCGGCGAAGTCACAGAATTATGGTCACTCTGCTCCTCCTAGGTCGACACCACTCTGTCTCAGTTTACCGACCCGAGCGTCTACCTGTGGGACGTCCACCGCAGCAAGGGGCTCATTAAGGTGCAGGGCCTCGTGACCCAGAAGAGGAAATCCTACTGCGCCGACTTCGCTGCCATCAGGCCTCTGGTCTCCCTGCTCCAGGAAACGCACGCGACGCATTTCCACTTCGCCCTGGACTGGGCCCTGATCCTCCCGCTGGGCAACCGGTCCCAGGTGAACCACACGGCCCTGCACTACTACTGCTGCGTGGCCAGCGAACTGGTGCGGGCCAACATCACCCCGGTGGTGGCCTTGTGGCGACCCGCGGCCCTGCGCCCAGGGCTGCCCGCGCCCCTGGCTGCGCACGGCGCCTGGGAGAACCCCCACATCGCCCCGGCTTTCGCAGAGTACGCCGGGCTGTGCTTTAAAGCGCTCGGGCCCCACGTCAAGCTCTGGGTGACGGCGAGCGAGCCTTACACTCGGAACCTCACCTACAGGGCCGGCCACAACCTCCTGAAGGCGCACGCGCTGGCCTGGCACCTGTACGACCAGCAGTTCCGGCGCTCGCAGAGAGGGCGAATCTCCATCGCCTTGCAGGCCGACTGGGTGGAACCCGCCTGCCCTCTCTCCCCGAGGGACAAAGAGGTGGCCGAGAGAGTTTTGGAATTTGACATCGGCTGGCTGGCCGAACCCATTTTCGGCTCTGGGGATTATCCACGTGTGATGAGGGACTGGCTGACACAAAGAAACGATTACCTGCTACCTTATTTCACTGAGGATGAGAAAAGGCTAATCCGCGGTTCCTTTGACTTTCTGGCTTTAAGCCATTACACCACCATCCTTGTAGGCTGGGAGAAAGAAGATCCAGGAAAATACAATGATTACCTGGAAGTGCAAGAAATGACCGACAGCACCTGGCTTAGCTCCCCGGGTCAGGTGGCAGTAGTGCCCTGGGGCTTGCGCAAAGTCCTGAACTGGCTGAAGCTCAAGTACGGAGACCTCCCCACGTACATCATCTCCAATGGCATCGATGACGACCTGCACGCAGCCCAAGACGCCTTGCGGGTGTATTATATGCACAATTATGTAAATGAAGCTCTGAAAGGTAAGGCCCCTCTGAAAAGCAGCTTCCTGGAGGTTGTGTCACCCAAGGCCGTGAGACCTGTTAGAAATTCTCAGCTGTAAGCACTGTCACCTTCCCAGAGAGAAGTGCTGTTCATTTCTAGCCACACCTAACGTGTCCTACAGAGAGTTAGTATTTTCTCCAGGGATAAAGGAGTTTAGCTAAAAGCGGAGGAAGACCGAAAGTCCTTGTCACCTACTCTGGACCTGTGATAGCCTGGTCTCCCCCTGTCCTTCATCCTCAGATGGCCTCACGGCAGTCTGACCCCCTTCACATATGTGAAGATTTAACTCAAGTACTTCATCAGAGGTTTAATTATATAAAACCTACTATGTTCAATGTAGCGCAGTATCTATCTTGATATTTACCTATTTGTCTTCCCGTAAAAGAAGACTTTTCTGATTAAGTCTAATTTAGTCCGAAGTTCTATTTAATGGTGTTGAAATGTTCCCCGATGCACCAAAGCCATGTAAAAGTAAAGTGTTGTATGCGAAATATTTTCATGACTATTCTCCTGTCCTTTTGTTTTTTTCTAGCCTATGTATTGGATGGGATCAAACTTTGTGGTTACTTTGCCTATTCGTTTAATGATCGCACAGCTCCGAAATTTGGCCTCTATCGTTACGCCGCCAATCAGTTTGAGCCCAAACCATCCATGAAACATTACAGGAAAATTATTGACGACAACGGCTTCCCGGGTCCCGAGACCCTGGGAGGGTTTTGTCCAGAAGAATTCACCCTGTGTGCCGACTGCAGTTTTCTTCATACACGAAAGTCTTTGCTGGCCTTCATAGCTTTTCTCTGTTTAGCTTTTATTATTTCTCTTTCTCTTATTTTTTACTACTCTAAGAAAGGCAGGAGAAGTTACAAACGGTCCTGAACATTTTCCCGTTCACTTATTTTGAAATAATTATGCACACATGAGCTGTTGACCATTGCATTTCTCAGTGTTGTGACACCATGGATTTCATATATCCGATTGCTAGAAAATCTCTTTGTGGCATATGACAGGGATTTTGAAACGAGCATGAGTGATTGTAAAATCTTGAATGATGTCCATAGTGCCTGAATTTGTTCCTTTAGCGGGGGTAGGGCGGGATCAAAAAACCCGACAAGGGCTGTCATTACTGCAACACTTTCTGTAACAAAAGCATGACACATTGAAACAGCTCTGTAACATTTTCACAGAAACTGAGTGACAAGATTAGGATACTTTTTTATGTGCCCATTCTTAAATGTAACGTTTACTTAAAGTAATAGCCGCAAATGTTGGCACACAAAGTGAGTCTCAA